TGTTCAGGAGTGACACGAGAATTCAGACCAGAGTAGGGTCGGCATTCCATCACTTACTGCTGACAAGCGTTTCCCAAAGAAGTCAGCAACCAAGGCTTTTACTAACTAACTAGCTGTGTTTGTAGAACCGCAGGTAAAGGGTTTCAGCTCTACCATCCCAGCCAGTTACATTAAAAGCAAAAGATTAGAAACTGCTTCCTGGCATATTCTCTGCATTATAAATTCTGTTTGATTCTTGCCCTTTTTTTCCAACCTCAATTCTGTCTCCTTCTCAGATGCTCTGTGATTTAACTTCTCCCTTTAGATACATTCCATTACATAGTTGTCTTTCTTTTCTCTTTGTTTAAGCATTTTAAAATTCATTCCTGTTCTTGTTATATATACTGTGTTTTCCCACCTAGAACTTTATAAAACAATTCTCTCATATTTTAATCCTTTTATTTTTTTATTCTTTTTAATGCTTTTCCACCTGTGATAACTTTCAATTTTTCAGCACATCCTATGAAAGACATAAAATTTATATTCCTGTGAACTCTCTTTAGTCTCTGGAGTTATTTTGCTAACCGACCCCTTCCTCTTGTTTTAAGAGGTTATGTATAGATCAAAAAGCAGTGGGAATGGTGAGAAGGTTGCAGCTCAGGGATAAAGAACAGGATTTCTGGTGTCAGACAGACTTGGATTGGAATCCTGGCCCCGCCTTTGTCTAGTGGGGAGACCTTAAGCAATCTATGTAGTCTTTCTGTGCCTCAGTTTCTCAACCTGTAAAGTGTGGATAATAATACTTAACTCGTGGAGTTGTTTGAGGATGGAATGACAGCGTGCACGTAAAGAGCATCTGGGTATGGTGTGTACAGAAAGTGATAGTGTGTTTGGTGCTGTTATGTCCTAGATGTAGTCATCGTAAAGCTCTCAGCTCCACGTGACACCAGGGTCATGAATGTACAGGTCTGTTCCGGAAACGCTAAGTTCATTGCCCACGTGATAATTCTGTCTTCAGTGAACTATACATTTCTTGAATCCAAAAAAAAAATTCTAAAGGGGGTTATCTCCATGGCATGAACAATTATGGGGTATATGTTCTGTGCAGGTGCCTGGGCTGAGTTTTCTGGGGGATAAATAGAGCTCAGCCCCATCCCTCAAGGAGTCTGCTTGGAAGCTAGCGCACACACTCAACTATAATGTAACATAAAGAATGCGTGTCCTGGAAAATCCCCAAAGTGTCCTGGAAAGTCAAAGGAGGCAACATCATTTCTAGCCAACGTTGTTCAAAACCAAACCCGATTCCCCTCACGGCAGATCTGCTCCTCCTGCAGCGTCCCCCGTCTCCATGTGTGGGTACCACCGTGTGTCCAGATATCCAAGCCAGGGCTCTGAGAAGGAAGCACTGCTGACCTCTCCTCTCCCATCCCTCCTGCTGCCGGCTGGCCGCAAGCCTCAGCAGATTCCCTCCTTGACCCTCCCCAAACCTTTCCCCCTGTCTTCATTTCCATCAACTTCCTTCAGTCGTTCTCAAACTTTCCTGACTTAGAATCTCCTGGAGGGCTTGTTAAAGCACAGATGGATGGGCCCCACCCGCAGAGTTTCTTCTAATTCACTCGGTCTGGGCTGGGGCCCGAGAACGTGCAATTCTAACCAGTTTCCAGTTGCTGCTGATGCTGCTGGTCTGGGATCAGATCGAGAAGCGCTGTCCAGGTGGGATTATTGCCCTGACTCCCTAGCTAAACTTTCTGTCTCCAGTCCTTACCCTTCTTCACATTCTCCAACCTGACCTAAGATCTGGGGGAAAAAAAAAAAAAAAATCCTTCCTGGCTAGGGATTGCCCGTGGGATAAAAGTCAGGATCCCTCACGTGACCTGCAGGGCCCTCAGTTTCCCGGCTCCTACCTTCCTCTCTTGGCTCATCTACTGCCTTGCTGACCTGTGCCCAGCCTGTGGCGCATGGAACTCCTGGCAGTTTTAGTACCCGTGTCACTTCGTGTTTTGTTCTTTGTATCTGCTGTTCTCTCTGCCTGCAGTGCTGCAGTCCCTTTGTTCACTGGCTAGCTCCTGTGGCTCCTTGCTAACAACTCAGGAACACCTCCTTGGGGAAGAGGGAAGAGTAGGTGTCTCACCTCTGTGCCTTCAGCCCCATGATGGTTATCACACGATGGTGTCCATCTGCTAGTCCCCCTCGCCCAGGAGCCTCTGAGCTTCCTGAGAGTAAGAACCAAATCTTTTAGCTCTGTAGCCACAACCCCGAGCAGTTCATTGCCTGACAAAGACTTGGAGACCAATGGATGTTGACTGAAAGGAGAGATCCAGGAAGGCTTCTTGGAAGAGACAGGCATTCTAGACAGAGGTAAAGAGTGGTTAGGATGTGGACATGCAGAGAGAAGAGGAAGACCATTCCAGAAGAGGAAGCTTGAGCCTGAGCGTGGATGTGTTCAGTCTTGGACACTGTGAGGAAGGAGCAAGGAGGGGTCTAGTTCGACTGGCCACAGGATGTGTGGTCTTGAGAGCTGGTTGAGGCAGGCTGTAAAGGTAGAATTAATGTGAGTCAGCAAGGGATTGAAGACGGATGTCCAGGAAAGACCTGGATCAAATGTGAACATATGGAGAGTATGGTTAACCAGAAACAGACTCTCTAGAGATGGAGTAAGCCGGATAAGGAGTAAAGATGGACAAGGATCAAGAGGGTTTTGGCCATAGTGGGGCCACCATTAGGACACGTTCCACTGTCTTGTCTTTATGTGTCTTCCCACTCATCTGATTCATGTTTTGATCTCCTAGTAAGAGTTCAATAAACGCTGAGTGAATGAATGTATGCAGTAGAATCAGCATAAAGGCCAGCAGTGGTCCTGCATGAGCCGAGGAAAAGAAGGAGAGCTGGTTCCCATGGTGATTTTAGGTGGTGTCATTGTCGCCCATGATGACCCCCAGGTGGATAAGACTCAGGCAAGAGAAAAGGCAGACACTAGCAACCATGGGAGGACCAGGAGGGGACTCAGGTGATGGGCAGCAGGGGTTCAGGAAACTATTGCTTGTCACTAGAAATGGGGAAGGACTCAGCATTGGTGAAGACCATCCAATGACACGTTGGAATAATGCCCTAAACCTGGGCTTGTGAGACTTCCTCGGTGGTTTTACGATTTGGTGTGCAGTGACAAAACGTACGAGAGCCGAGACGTGCTCTCTGACCCCTCCATGCTAATGCAGTACACGTGAGCATTAGCACCTTTATTCTATGTTTAAAGATACGTCTAGAAAGTGTTATGCGTTGTCACCGCTAATCCATTTTTCCCTGGGAAAGAGACAGCTTTATGACTATTATGACACCGTTCTCAAAATCTAACCGCTACCGTTCTTCCGCTAAATTAACACATTGACATGTTTAGAGAATGCAATATAATGTGGAATATGTGACAGAAATAGTTTTTCTTCTGACCTGTTTTTCCAGTCTTCTTGTACAATCCTAGCGGGCTTTCTCATATTACTTTTGTATGTGCAGAGAAATATCTGAATAAAAGTAATCTACAGATTAAAGCATTAGATTGTCTTTATGTTAAACACACACACAATAAAGAGTTATGTTTCTAAGCAGACAGTCTCAGAGATCAGGTACTTTTTATTGTGCTTCCAAATCGATAATTCTATTGGTAGAATATTTTTGATGGCAAAAATCAAAATTTCCAATGTGACCAAGCAGGAAGTTTTATCACCAAAAACAAGCACTGGGGCATGCGGGGGAAGGGGGTGGGGGATGGAGAGGATGAACAATAGGTAAAGAGGCAGGATTCAATTTCCTTTTATGCTCAACCTTGGGGACAGGCAGACAGACCATTATTTACCTGTGTCTGCCACCGATGAACAGAAGCACGCAGTGATGAATTGCAAGTCATTTACTTTAAAATTCAATTTCATTTCTTCAAATAATCCATGTGAGCATGAATATCTAATTAAAGGGTTTAGGCATGGACATCCTAGTGGAACAATCTATAAAGCATGTACCAGTCGGAGTTCATTCATTCCACAAATATTTATGGAGCATTTACGTGTGTGTCAGACACGGGGGAAAAAGGCAGACCCGGTTTTCTGTCCTGCTTGAGACAGAGCTGGAATTCCAGACTCTGATTTTATTGTTGGTGTTGCTACTACGGTTAGGATGTGAATGACTGTTTCTGTTTCCAGTCCTCCCCTTGAACCATTTCATAAAATACGAAATGCAGCACTTCTGCTGCGCATCCAAAGCAGCGGTTTTCAATGTGCTTTCTAAAAATCCCACCGTGTGCCAGTTTTGATGGGACCAATTAGAAAATCTAAGGAAGCTGGAATTCAGGAACTCAGGGAGTCCTAAGAATGCTTGGAATCTCTAACAGATTTTACTAAACATTTTCCGTATCATGACATGTTCCAGAAGACCATAAACATTAGTTTATACTAATATAAACTACTTTTTGCCTTGCTGATAATTGCAAATAAATAATTCAGATGGCCGCCCACCAAAAAACCAAGAAGTGTTGGGGGGTTTGTGTGTTTCCTATGAAATACTTGCTTTGTAAATTTTTGTAATCAAAGAGAAAAATATTTTATTTTATTCCTACTTTTAAATTCTGCAGAACTAGTTTCAAATATGTCTGTATATCCCAGTAATATCATTATGGAAATATAAGATAATGATTAATCTCTTGTCTTGCTTTGACATTAAAGGAGGAGATTAAAGGCATTTTCTAACTTGCATTTCAGTTCAGCAACACTGACTTCTCCAGTGAAAATTACTTAATCTGTCACATTGTTTTCCTGGTAGCAATCAACTAAATTAAATACAGGACTATAAATTTGGATAGCACTATTGTCGTCAGAAAGAAGCCTTATGTAAAGTTCATAAACGTTGCACAAAACACATTCGGCTGTGGTCCAAGAGGTAATAAGTGAGGAATAAAGGAGGTGGGACGATAAGCTTTAGCTTAACATAGCTTCGTAAATTAGATCCTATATATGCTAATTTTGTACTTTTTTTAATAGATGGAACTGATTAAAAATATAAGTACCGCCGAACAGCCTTATTTATTCACTCGACATGTTCATTTCCTCAACTTCTCAAGGTAAGACACTTTCCAGTTTAATGGTTCTTTCATTTCTTTTTAGTACTTAGACTTCTTCTAATGAACAATTGCCTTAAAATCTACCTTCATTTTCAAGGTAGTGTCATTGCCCTTGAAAAGACATTTTTAATCCATTTTTGCTGTGGAAGGATCAAAGTTTGAAATATTTGGGCAAAAGCTGCATTTCTTTCTAGAATACTAATCTTAAATCTTGTGAAAACTTGAAATTGTTTTTAAGGAGAAGCCATTTAACCTGATAGTTCTCAAATAAAAAAATCAGGTTTTGTACTGAAACAAATAAATGAGGAGGCAGAGGTGGGTATGTTAACAGAAATATTTCGTTGCACATTTTTGTACAATTTGAACCTGCACAGGACTCTGGGAATAACTTGGTGGTGGAGTAATGTGTATTTTATGGGATCCAAAATGCTAGTATCAGCCTCTCTGCCTACCTTTTTAATATTCCATTTGATTCCTCTAAGCCTTGCACGTTTGATGGTGGTGGCGTGTTTTAGGAATCGGTTTTTTCGTCATCTGTAGGGACTTTCTGATAATAATGCAAATCTTCAAATTTAGGTTTTTAAACCCTCTATCTGTTAAGTTGCTATCTGCAAGTTCTGTGCATTCTCTTCTCCAGTGACCCACTGACGTAGGTTTTCTTGTCACTCTGCTTGACTGTCAACTAGTAGCTCTCAGATCCTCCTCCCCACAGGCTGGCCCATGTCTCAGCTCACAGTCGGCATCAGCTGGCAGAGCACTGGGTCCAGGGGCAGACCCGCTGACCAGCCCGGGACCCTGGGCCTTCCCTCATCAGCCGTCCCTCACTGTTTTTCCCATGGAGATGATAGTACCTCACAGGTCTGCAGGAGAGCACCGAGCATCCTGCTAGCTGGCGCTGACCTAGTGGCCCCCGAGGTCCAGCCCCCAGGGGGGCCCTGAGCACTCACTGCTCCGAGTTTGCACCGGGCAGCGGGCACAGCTGCCCGCCCCAGGATGCCTAACAATCTACTGGGCTGGGAGAAGGGTTAGCCTTCAAAGGACTTCCCTGCTGGGCAGTAGGCCCCGTGCAAATTAAGTGTAAAGACAATGAGATTCAGCAAAGCATGTTATTAAGCAGCAAAGAAGAGTTGCTGCCTTATCTTTGAAAGCAAGCTTCCCCTGAAGTTTCCCGGGCCGGCCTGATAACCAGAATTCCCTAGGACGGCGAATGGGACACCTGCCAATTATCCTCGGGGGCCCAGGGCCACTGTGAGAGTTCGAGTGTGTTTCAAACCACACTTATCAGGTGGCTTGTTACTGGATCGTCTGGGGTATGCGCCCTGCCTCGCACGCTTCCAGGAGGCCAAGAGCATATGATTGATAAGGAGGACTTGTTAGCTGGTTCATGCCTTGCATTTTACGACTTGCAGAGAGCAGAGCAGGCCCTCCTGATCCTTGCTTCTCTCATGGACTTCCTTCTGCCTCACCCCGACTTCCTCAGACTTCATTCAGCTCTTCCCGTGTCAAGGTCAAGTCTTTACAACCAAAACAAATCGCAATGCAACAAATTTTGATAATTAACTCAAGACAGCGTGAAACTCTGATGACAAGCCAAAGCCGATATTTTAAGTGGATCAGCAGAGCAGGGCACAGCGTGGTGACCGTATTTTATCACGGGCCACGATCAAATACGTGTCCAAGAGTTTAATCTGGATTGATGTAATTCTGAAAGAAAAAAATTGATAAACACCTTTTAGAAGACACCCCATCTGCGGAAAACAGCGTTGGCCTGGCTGTCGGGACCTCTGGGTGTCAGCCCTTCCCACTACCAGGATTGTGGGCAGCAATTTAACCTCTGGGGGCGTGGGGGGTGCTATGTTTTTCCCTCTATAAAATAGGGACAATTCCTGCCCACCCCTACCTTGTAGGGATGCTCTGAACGCGTGAAGGAAAGCCCTCAGGTTGCTGGAGAGAAGGATATTACGTATATTCGAAGTGGCATTTAAAAGGCACTTCTGGAGAGGTCTCAGTCTGAGCCCACAGTTCGGCGCCTGCCTGCAGGTAGACCTGGAGGCCAGGGCCCTGCTCTTGCTGGTTTCTCCTCCCTCCATCCCATTTTGTTCAATTAAATGCGTATTTATCGAGGACCCTCCGTCTTCCATACACTGCACCGGGACTGGGGCTCTGCAGGGAACAGTAAACGTTTTCCTTGCCTTCGGGGAACTGTCAGTTCTTCTTCCAGAAGAGGCAACAACGTGTGATGAACTTGAGGAGAAGGAGTCACAGGGTCTCCCCGAGGGGACCACGGAAGGAAGCAGGACCCTCCCTCCCGGAAGAGGAAGTCTGGAAGGCACCCCTGAGCAGGAGCCGAGGCTCCCGGGGTGTGAGGGGTGGGTCAGCTTTAGACGGATGAAGGGGAAGGGTACTGGCCGCACAGGGGCCAGCGTGGGCAAACACCGGCTACATAGAGGGACCAAAAGGGTCCAGAAAATGGGTGCTAGAGGGCGGGCGCGGCAGGAGTGGAAGGACAGTCAAGAGTGTCAAGCAGGAAAAGGTAGAGACTGGCCTGATGGGCTTCGCTCCTTTGAAAAGCTCATGCTAACTGTGGGCACAGTCTTACCCTCTCTTCCCACCCCCATGCGCGAGGCCTGGGGCCTTGGGTCAAGCCCTCCTTTAAAGAGAACAGAATGACAAATCGAACTTTGATACGTTCCGAGACTATTGTTATACTCATTGAACACGGAAAGTCACAAAATCAGCTTTTCTTTTGAAGGAAATAGCTTTATTTAAGGAAATTTTTTTTTAAGTACAAATGGCAAACTGTGGGCCTACCAGGAAAGCCCCAAAATATACAGTTAACAGAGCAAAACAACGATGTTGGGACTTGTTAAGAGGGCTTTCACTACTTTTAAACATGAGTTCTGTATTTTGAATGATAAAGAATAGGAATAATTAAGCTGCTCTTAGGAAACCAACTCTGATCATTGTTGACAGGCAGAAGTCTGGCTTGTTTGGGGATAATGAGGTGACTAAGAGAAGAATTGACACTGCGACCTAATATTCTTCATTGATATTTTATTTCTAACCTTCCTTATATTCCTTTTCTCTTTTTTTTTTTTTTTTTGCTGAGGAAGATTGGCCCTGGGCTAACATCTGTGCCCACCTTCCTCTATTTTTGTATATGGGACGCTGCCACAGCATGGCTTGATAAACGGTGCATCAGTGCATGCCCAGGATCTGAACCTGTGAACCCCAGGCCACCGAAGCAGAGTGTGCACACTTAACCACTACGCCACCGGGCCAGCCCCTAATCTTCCTTATATTCTTAACATGCAGCAAGATCCTTGCTGATGAGCAGAATATCAGAATGAAAGTCTAGCCTCTTTCCCCACAACTTCTTTTTGCACGTCCATGTTCTGAACTTTTTAAGTGTGTGGCATTATACGAAAACGAATTGCCTTGTATTTCTTTTTCCTGTTAAGTACGGCCTTCTTGACATTCAGACACTGAGTGACATAAAATGCTGCCCCATGAGCATTTAGTGATTCAGTAGCTGACTGACTTATTTCATTTATTCATCATCTAGGCATCTTGCTCTGATCCTTCTTTTCCCCTTTTTTTAGAGCTAGAAGGAACCATTTTGCCGTGTCCAGTTTTATTAATTCAGTCACAGAAAGCAATAGTGTCAGAGCCACCTGGTGTTTCTGTAGTTACCTCGGGGAAGGTTTCCTGCCAGAGGAGGGAAACACCATAAGCTCAGCAGAAATTTCAGGCTTCAGTTTGGAATCGGAAGGTTTTTCACTATCTGCTCTTTCACACAGTTTTTGAACTGCTGGAAAATTCCGGCCAGACAAATGTTTTTCACCTGGACTACTTAGAGAATTGAGTCAAAATTACCCTGGTCTAAAAGACGCTACTCTTTGTTGTGATGTTTAAGTAGGATTTTCCATATTTGCACACACGGTTTCATGTGTCTGTCCCCAGTTGTCAAAGTAACCTAAAGAGTTAGAATGTTTGAAAAAGTTCAGCTTCCCAACATGAACAGTATCTCCTTAAGTATGTCTTGGATGGACACCCTGGAAAGATTCTAACAGACAATCAGTGTGTCTCCCTCCCTCAACTTTTTGTTTGTTTTAAGCATTTTTTGTGGGGGAAGGGGACAGTAATTCTCTTTCCACTCTACCGTTCCCCTCAACTCCCAACTTGGGTCTTGCGGGGAAAACACTGTGAAGTGTTGTGTCAGAGCACAATGCTTTCAGAACAGTCCAAGCGAATTATAAGAGATGTCAATACGCTACATAATTTCCAACTGCAGTCCTCTCTCGGTATCCGCAGAGATAGGTTCCAGGACCCTCCTGCGGATGCCAGAATGCGCGGATGCTCAAGTCCCTCAGATGGCCTTCCATATTCACAGCTTCCGCATCCATGGAGTCAACCAGCCGCAGAACCCGGATACGGAGGGCCGACGCTAGCACTTCTCTTAACCTTTTTCGTGTCATTCTTCCTTTCTCGCCCATGACCCCCTCACCCTCCTTTGCTTCCATTTCTCTTTCCTCATTCATCTCAGATGGTGGCTCCAGTGCCAACACTAACTTGCAAAAACAAAACATTTGAAAATAAATCAATCACTAGAGAGGCAGGCAGGGTGCGGTGTGCAAGTGGAGGTGTTTTGGACGCTTTCTCTCTTCCCTTCAAGTGGAGTCTTCCTTACTGATGTGAACGAAGTCTGCCCTCTGATGGCGTTGTGTAACAAAACAAAGCAGATCTTGCCAAGCCCATAATTCAATCAGGTTTCCACATCTCGTTTCTAAATGTTGACTTTGTTTTATTCTCATTAGCAAAGTGGTCCATTTTAATTCCGTGCCCTGCAGATCTTTTGTAGCAGGGGCAGAGCCTCAACCTTTGAAGAGAGCATCAAAATAAAAATTGATATCAGCAGTTATTGAATCAAAATTGGGCCTCCGGACTTGCAGTCCTTTTCCTCTTTTAATGTAGGGAACAGCACAAGAATAACCTCTACTTTTAGGCCAGGGGTGAAAAGGAAGACATACTTTCAGTAGAATGGAAATTGCCAGGGGCTACGAAGGGGGGGGAAGAGATTTATTGCTTAAAGGGCACAGAGTTTCAGTTTGGGATGATGAGACAGTTCTGGAGATGGATGGTGAAGATGATTGCTCAACACTGTGAAGGGACTTAATGCCACTGAACTGTACACTTAAAAATGGTGAAAAGGGTAAATTTTATGTTACGTATATTTTACCACAATTAAAAAAATAAAGATATACTTTCAAAAACTGTTTCCAGTCATAGAAAACTCTACTATAGTCGGAGGACAAAACAGTCTTAATTCCCCAGAATAATTTTGATCTTAAGTATTATTTTAAAATGCAATAATATTCTAGGAAGAAATATCATCAGCAATTTGATGAAAATATACCTAAAAATCTTCCCAGCGTGCTTTGTGTAGCTGTTGGCGAGGTGACTGCTGTTGATTGACTGAGGTGTCAGCGTGGGGCAGATGTTGAAGAAAATGCTCAGAATAAGATATTCAGGAAAGCATCAAAAAACTGAGAGCCATGCAATTTTTAGTCTAGAGAATTATCTGCTGCTTTGGATCTTCATCTTCTCATCAAAAACACAAAAATAAAAAGAATATGATAAATTTGCAGAGGGTCAGAAGGAGACCCACTGGAGTGATTAAAGAGTTGGTAAATATGACCTATGAACAAATGTCAGAGAAATTGGAAATACCCGCTGTTTTAGGATGACTTAAAAGAGAGCGTCAACTACGCAGGGGTTATTGTGGGGACCAAGGGATAAGAGGGTGTGTTGTTAAGCGACAGACACAATGCGACCAGACCCCCATACTCTCCAGTGTATGGACAGCATGGAACCTGTCGTCAGCTGTGGTCGCCACAATTTCTTAGGGCCAGATAAAGACCAGATTAGAGCTACGGATTATAGATTGAAGGGAAATAAGTCTCAAGACAAATGCTAAAAGAATTTCAAAAAGAAACACACAGAGGAAAAGTTAAGGGAATGACAATTGAAGCCAAAAAGATTAAAAGTTATAAAAGCATATGAAGAGAAGTTAATCCTTGGTGCTGAGGGGAGCAACAAAAAGGAAGGAGCAGAAAAGACGATTAGGAATTTTGCCGAGTGCTCCCAAGACTCCTCAGCTGTCGGGTTGACCAATAGGATGGGCTTCACAGGGAGGTTGTGGAATCTTCGCCAGAGTTTTAAAAATAGGGCAGAGCGTTGTGCTGTGTGGGATTGGGGTCGGGGTACAAAGCGTTCTCCCTCTAGAATGGCATCAGCAGTAGGTCCCGGTGACCTTCTAAGGTCCCACCGTCTAAGGGTGACCAGGAATTCTAACTCACATTAAACAATTACTGAGACGGGAGAAACTGATCCTGAGAGAGGATGGGATGAGGGTGGGAAATTTGTTTCCCTTCTGAGGCACTGGCACACGTGGATGGTAGTCTGGTCTCTTTTGTATAACTCACATGCCACCCCAGATTTATCCGGTGTGGGAGGGAGCTGCATGTCCTAGAAAAGGATGAGAGTTGGCAGCCCGAAACCATTATCACTGTTGCATTCTGGAAAGGGGGAGATGTCTATCAAATATCTCTCTCACAGAAATTTTTAGAGAGAGGCTAATATATTATCGATACTTGGTAATAAATTCCTAAACCATCAAAAACTTCAGTTCTGGAAAATCATTGTGGAAATCTTGCACTGGGCTACAATGTGCAAACAGGAGCAAATCACCCACACTCAACAAGCCTCGTCCATCCTCATGTCTGTGGCCTTCGGCGGAAGATGGCTGTGGCCAGGCTGAGAACATCTCGTGGTGGGGAGCTGGCCGTTGACTCACGATTGGGCAGTTCTGCTAATTAGCAGTTAATAGTCGTTCTTCACGTGAAGATAGAAGTACAGTTGAGGTTTTTAAAAGCAAGATGCAGTTTCTGAGGGCTTAATTGCATTCACATCTGGTGTGCGTGCTTTGTCCTCCTAATCCCCAGCATTGTTACTTTAGTTGCTGTTTATCACAGATACGAAACTCAATTAATTAAAAAGAGGAGGAGACATCCAGGATGCTGGTGGTTAGCTGGTGGTCGAATGGCTGACTTCTGGGACTAGATGGTTGTCCATCGAGCTGCATGAATGTCACCGGGTACACGTCCGGGTATTGACAAGATTCATATTGGCATGGCTAACTTACCCGCGAGAAGCGTGGTTTCCAAAGTGGCATATTGAAGGAGTCCAGAATATCCTTCATTCATCCTGGTGCCTGAAATTCCACCGTCGGAGAGGCATTTGTTTTATTCCTTAGGATTCTTCTCTCTGAAGATTCTCTTTAAAAATGCACATAACCTGGGGGCCATATTATACAAATTAATACACAGAAAAGGGTTGGTGGCTTGTTCTGTCCACTTTCCTCTACACCAGAGCCCTGTGGTCTTGGTAGAAACTTACCAACTTGGAAGCACACGCCCAGGCGTTCATGTCTTCATGGGTTGAGCACCTGCTGTGTGCCACCCACTGTGCTAAAGGGCATCCTTCCTGGCTTCGGGAGGCCCGCAGTCTGGTGGGAGAGCAGACACGGACAGGCGGTGCTGGGGAGAGGACTTGGAGCTGGAGGGGGAAGGATGTGGCTGGTTCTGGGCTGGGCGTTGAGAGGTGAACGGAGTCTGCCAGCTGGAGGGGGAGGGAGCAGGGGTGTGTCAGTTGGTTTTCTCTGACCTCTGTCTGACCCCTCACTGACCGTCTAGGCATCCTCATCAGAAGCTCATGGGGTCACGGGGTGAGAGGACCTGCGGGTCCCTCGGGAGGCCCCCAGGCTCTGCCCAGAGCCCGGAGTGGTCTCCCAGGCCCCTCAGGGTCACCGGTTTCGGGCAGTTCAAAGCGAAAGGGGAAGAATCCTGAAGGGAAATTCAGCCCAGCCGCTCACTTTGCTCCCAGAAGGCCTCGCTCTGGGGCCAGCGTGCATTTGTCTGACCCCTTTGTAGATGGAATTAAAATGGGACACCTACATATTGGTTTAATTTTTATCTAAAAACACGTGCCGTCATTTGAGGATAATTATATTGATTTTTGTTGTGTGCGTGATATCCCCTTACCTTATTCCTTTTCTCAACTCCGGAATCTTCTGTCCATGGCTCAGAGCACAGGTTCTGAAGCCAGACGGCCTGGCTTCCCATCTGGCTCAGCCACAAGGGACTTACCCGCTCCCTGCCTCAGTTTCCCCAGGTATAAGTGGGGGTCATTATGGTTGTGAGGCTTCGGTGAGTTGGACGCGTGAAGAACTGACAAGGTGAACGGTGAGCAATTAACAAACGTTGGATGTTGTATCCACTTCCCACAGAGCCCCTTACCTGAGAGGGTCTGAATGAGACTGTAGGATAAGTACTATTTCACCCAACAAAGCGGTCAGAACTTACCAGTCAGCTGACACATGCCCTGAGGTCCCACCACATGACAGTGGTTGTCCCTGCCAGACCCCAGGAGTACAAAATCCAAGACAGTGCGTCCCCGCCTCAGAACCTACAGCCTGTGAGAAACAAGACCACGTCTGTGCACACCTTCACGGTGACCGGTACCATCGTTTGTATGGTCCTGACCTACCGACATCCTGACGGCCTCTCAGTGGGGCCGAGGAGGCATCACGGTCTCCACTTCCTCACGATAATAAAACGCCTATCAGGAGACACTGCCTGCTGATTCAGTTGTTCACTGGTGCCTTAGCAGACGGGTACCAGGTGGTAATGTGTCAACCCGGAGGGGAGACGTTGTGGAAGCGGGCTTTCTTTCCCTCCGGAAGTGACGGGTTGTAACCAGCTCTGTGTCTGTGCGTGCTAGGTTCGGAGGGGACCAGCCCGTCTACATCAACATCATCCGAGACCCCGTCAACCGGTTTTTATCTAACTACTTTTTCCGTCGCTTTGGAGACTGGAGAGGGGAACAGAATCACATGATCCGCACCCCCAGCATGAGGCAGGAGGAACGCTACCTGGTAAGTCCTGTTGCCCCCAAGACGTGGCCCCTCCCTGCCCTGGGAGCAGCTCCCGGAGGCAGGGAAGCTCACGCTCCCCGCCCATGGCATTCCCGTGGCACCTCCACGGAGCTCTGCATCGCGAGGGCACTTCCTCAGGGAGGAAGTTTTTCCAGTGAAAAATGATTTCAGATGACCCAGATCCTAACGGAGGATTTCTGCGATGACTTTGTAGTCTTGTTTTCCCCCGTTTGTCTTCAGTGCTAGATTTTAGGTCCCAGAGAAGAAATGGTCTTCCCTGGGGAGTCCAGCCCAGCAGTATCCTCAGTTTCCCGGTCCTCTACCTTCAAGTCCCAGGTTTTTTCCACCACAGCACAGCAGAATCAGGCCATCTGGGCAAAAATTATTTGCTTTCTGTGGACCTTGTCGTGGGACCCTCAGCTCCAGAGGGATGCTCGTTTTGACCCCAATAATCATTTCCATGGCGCAGAAGTTGATAACAAAAATGGAGGGCAGAGTCATGTGTCTTTCTGCCAGCACCAGAGTACAAGGTTCGTTTCTCACCTGTTTGTAACCTAGACTGACAAAAGCTCACTGAGCAGCTGAGAGCCTGGTGCTGCGGAGGCTGAAATCCTGGTCTCTGTGTGAGAGAGAGCCCCTGGGGTCACCCAGACCCTCCCTGGCTGTCGGGCAGCAGCAGAAAGAGAAGGCAGTGTTGAGGGGTCAGTGCAAATCTGTTCCCGCCGCCGGAAACTCACGCAGAGCCTGCACCCGCAGCCAAGGTGCCACGGCGGCACTCTTGTAGCTAAAGGAGTATCGTTGGGCACAGTTCCAGCTCAATGCCCAAAATTCCTCATTTAATTTTTAAAAATGTGATAAAAGCGTGTGTTTGGAGGATGGGAGCATTTGTGGATGATGTCACTGTCACGTCTTAAAAATCCAGGATTAGAGTTGAGAAAACTGAGATGCAGAGAAGTGTCTTATCTTGTACTGGACAACTAGTTTGTAGATGTGCCAAGACCAGAAACCAAGGCTTGTCACTCGCCTTTCAGTATTTGTTCAACCACCTAAGCCTTGCGTGAAATATCTTGATGGTATATTTTCAAAGTGGCTTTTAGTTTTTGATGTCAAAAGCCCTGATCTTTTTCTTTATACTACATGTTGTGAATATGGCTATGTATTTTTTATTCGGTGACAAGTATGCATGTAGGGTATAGAACCACTTACTAGAGGAAGAATTTCTACTCTGATTATCTTCATAGTTTGTACTGGATCTTGATGAGCATGTGTGTGTTCCTTTAAAAACTTACAGCACAGTCCCTTTAATCAAAATATATTTCAAAGTTTCTGATTTAATTCTGATACTAAGAAAGTTAGAACCAAGTTGTGCAGAAAATGCTGAAAAAACAAAGATATGGAAACGAGTCTTATGAATCTTGCTCGGCAAATATTAGTGTAGATAATAAGTAAATTCTTAGTCTACCAGAAGGTGAAAAGTGATTTGGAAAAACGAGAAACTGGAGGGGCGGTCCAGGGGACCCAGAATGCCCGAGGGGCGGGGGCAGGCCGCGATGTTCATAAGGAGCTCAGGCAAGGCGCTGAGGACGCGGCACTTGAGCAACGGTGAGAATGAGATGTGAAGTCGGTCAGCTGGTTAGCCGGAGGACACAGCTCCAAGTGGAGGGGCAGCGGGGGCAAAGGCCTGGAGGGGACCGTGCTGCTCGTTCAAAGATCAGCAGGGAGAACAGTGTGGCTGGTGTGGAGTGAGGGGGGGAGCGGGAAGTGTCAGGTGAATTCAGAGAGGTGAGGATTGGAGGCCACAAAGGGTATAAGGCCCGGTGAGCCACTGAGTGAGTTGGGAAGTAACACGGATGACCCCAAATGGAACACCCCTTCATCAGTGATTCCTTCTCTTGACTCTCCACCAGAGATCTGAGCCACTTGTCCCAACAGAGGATGCGTCATCCCACCAGCCTTTAAACATCCTCAGCAGTTCTCCCCCTTCTTTCTAGGAGCTAAGACTCCTCCCTCCTGCTCTCGATCTGTACCTGGCTGACCCCTGGAAGCTTGTCCTAGAAGTCTCACAGGCTCCTCACACTCAAAGTTTCCGGGGGCCTCTATTGAAAACGGAGTTTGTGGGCTGGTGACCCCAGAGTTGTGCGATGCACAACCTACATAGCTGTACCTGGAGGTCCTGGTGTTCTTCTTCTGTGCTCCCACCAAGTTCTGTACTGGCTCTGTTGTTTCTCAGAGTGATACAATGTCTTAACTTCCCTCCTCTCCTCCCAACAGCATAGAAGCACTTTGAGGACGAGATAGGATCAGAGTTCCATCTATGTCCCTGGTACACAGAAGAGGGACTGACACACAGGAGACCTCACTAGCACTCTACTTAGCAAATATAAACAACAAAAAACATGCATGTAGGAGTGGAGGGGAATTCTCTAGGGTTTTCTCCCCTGAGAAAATCAGAAATCAAGTTTCTGCCATCATTCCATATAACGTGGTCTTCACACATTCACACAAACAGTAAGTTGTAATCATTTGTGAGAGAAGATGTAAACGAGAGAAAAAAATCATGGTTTCGATTTTTTTGAAAAGCCCATAAAATGTCGAAAGTTAGGCGTAGGGGCAAGTCTTGTATTTTTGAAGAGCTGGTGGCAGCTTTTATGGTGTGATCTGAGCGATTCCGGGGAAATGTCCCTGCCTGGAACTCTTCCCTTAGAGATGTGCGGGGTCCCATGTCCGCACATAAGCTGTGTCCGGGGAAGGGGCTGTGTCAGACGCACTCCTCAGACCGTTCTTTGACAAGGCCTCAGCGGGAGAGCACGGGGCTCCCCGAAGCAGCAGGGGGAGAAATCAGGGAGCAGGGAGTACGGAGGAGCCCGAGGGACACGGGACTCCTTTATGATCTGGCCCCAGCCTGACTCGCTTAGGAGGCTGTTTTCTTGTTCAAAGAATAGTTTGTTTATTTGGAGGAAGACAGTCTATTGACTTTTTTTTTTTTTTGGTAGCTGAAACTTCTTATGCCATCTCCCTGGTCCCCTTAGACCCTTGAAATCAAACTGCCCCCTTTCAGAGCCTGTCCTCATTTTGGTAAGCCTGGGTGGTCAGTTGTTTGCTCAAAGGAGGGTGGTGTTTGTGTCTCGGTGGGGTGCAGGGCAGCTGTGAGGAGCCCACTGTGCCCTCAGCAGGGCCCTGCCTCGAGCAGGGCTGGGAGGGGCTGTGCAGGGTGTCCCCCTATCCGAGGAGGCAGGCATGGCAGGCCACCCCCTCGGGGATCGAGAGAGGAGGCCTCTCCCTGCACGCTGCACACACACAGAGTCACGGGCGCTGGCCCCAAACGGGTCCACTGATGTACCCACATTCTTCCAGATCTCAGTGCTCCGGAGCCACTCACTTGATCTGGTTGCCAAAAATCAGGCGATTCTGCTCCTGGCCCTGAGCCTTGCAGAACTGCTTAGCATACAGCTGAGAGAGAGCCAGGGCCTCTGAGCCCACTCTGGGGATGAAATAACATCATCTTGTGATGCTGGGTGGTTCAGAAGAAAATAGAAAAGGGCACAGGGATGCTCAGGTTTGCAGGATCCCTGGAGGTCACGAGGAAACTCTCGTTTCACAGATGCAGGCACGGGCCTCGGTCTGGGTGGGTTAGAGGCCCCTCCAGGAGTGGAAGCCAGGCTTCCTGACTCCAGCACTGTGTTGTTTCATCACTAGGATTTACTTCGTGAATGGTAAAAGGAGAAGAGGACTGGGCCAAGTTCCATGCTTGTCGTATAAAATCATTTTGTCTGACACATCTTCACAAAGACATAGCTGTTATAACAATTTTTTTTTAATATTCAAGCTTCTTACAGCTACTCCCCATATTTTCCAGAAACAGATTTTCTAAAGGTTTCTATTTCTTTCCAAACCATTCCTCACTGATATTTACCAGAAAATCATCTTAAAATGAATTATTGCTCGAATGAATACAGATTCGATGGGTAGCAGCCACACAGTGAAAAGACAGTTCTCTGAGGCTCATTTCTGCTCCCCGGTGCAGAGGTGGCTACCTCTGGTCGTTTTTAGAGTCGTGAGGTGGGGCAGATCTGAGCCCAGGGACACTTGGATACACCCCGGCCCAGGAGACTCTTCTCCAGCTGGAGCCAGGTGCTTTATTTCCAGGGCAGGGAGGTACCTGGCACACAGGACATGGTTAATGGAAGAATGAATGATGCTTTGTGAAAAGCCCCAGTGGTGATTTACAAGCAAGAGAGAGCATCCCGTCCCTACAGAAGCCACTCCCTTTCCAGTCGCCGAGTTTCCCTGAAAATGGATTTCTTATGCCGCCATTTCCCCTCTGCCAGTTAAACATGTGTGATGTGTGTTTGCTGTTGACCGTAGCGAGTTTCCTGGAGAAATATTCTGCAGAGATACCACTTGGCCCTTCCCAACTCCAAAAAATGTCAGGTTGGGCTCCCTCCCCAAACTTCCTGCAGCTTCCCTGGATGATCTCCGTTTGACGAGCAGGAGGAGAGAGGAGGAAATTTTCCCTGGGAGAAAACTGTGATCCTGTTTATTCGGCTTGGCTGTAAAGCGTGGAAAGTCATCCATGTTTAAAAGAAAAGATGCGTAGTTTACAGCTTCTTAATGCATAAAGAATTCAGTGAATCACGCTGGCCCCGCTGGGTTCTGGAGAAGCCTGAAAATCAGCCAGCGTCAGCCAAGGTTTTCAGAAAGCTACGCACTTCAATCTTCCTGAGAGTTTTGGACTCTCAACATCCTTTAGCTTTGGAAGTGTATATAGAAATACGCGTTTCTGGAAATTTCCACTCTCTCCTGACCGGCCGAGGCTGTCCTGTGAGTGAGAGCTCCGGCTTAGCCTCTGTCCCTGCAGCATCATTCTTCTTAAAGAAAGAAAACGAGTAATGGATTTGGGAGATCTGCTTTTTAAGTATTTCAGTAAATAGCTACATCTTCTGAATCTTTGAAGGTAGGAAAGTAATGCTGTTTGTCTCCAGCGAGTTCAAATTTGGCTT